CTGACTTTAATGTCAAAATTCTGACTTTTTTTCTCAGAATTCTGACTGTAATCTTAGAATTCTGACTTGTTTTTTCTCATAATTCTGACTTTTTTTCTCAGAATTCTGACTGTAATCTTAGAATTCTGACTTGTTTTTTCTCATAATTCTGACTTTTTTCTCAGAATTCTGGCTTTAATCTCAGAATTCTGACTTTTATTCTCAGAATTTTGACTTTAATCTCAGAGATTTTGGAGCGCTCAGCTTCACTGACAAAGATGCGAGTTGTTTGGGAGGGCCAGTAACACTTTGGTGGAAAATGACGGAATTAGGCAACTCTTTACGTGCCTCAGGGGTCCCGCGTGATGCTATTTTATTAATGGAAGAGCAGAAGATGATTAAAACAAGAGAGCTAGTCTCTAAAACAGACATGGCTACAGCTTGATGCTAACATGTTTGTTATCTGTCAGAATTCAGTCAGAATTCTGAGGTTAAAGTCAGAAATCTGAGATTAAAGGCAGAATTCTGACTTTTTTTTATATTAAATAAAATTAAAAAATCAGTTAACTTTTTTTTCTTTTTTTTTTTTACAGTGGCCCTAATCCTCTTCTGTACACAGTGAATGAGGCTGTGTATGAATTTAAATGCAGGAAGGGATTTTAACTCAACATTTCAAAGAAAAAAATTATGTTAGATATTATATTTACATACGGTGTTCTGTCAGAACAGCATATGCTGTTAGATCCATAGATTTAATATAAAAGATAACGTAATAAAAAAAACTCTTGTATTATGTCTATAGTCAGATCAGCATACATTGTTCCAATATGCATGCGTGCACATGTTCAACACAGAATTATTCCCACATTGAATTGTAGCAGCAGTGTGCCAACCAGTAAAAACACCTTTATTTTAAAAAATAAACTCAGCTTTTCTTATACTGTTATTCCATGGATGTTGAAACGGCCAGACATGAAGTTTACAGGATGTTTAGAGAAGATGCCTCTATAGCTATAGCAAAGTTATTCTATATTAAGGCAAAATAAGTTAGTTTAGTAGTAAAAAAGTGTGTGT